ATTTAGTTATGATAGACGCTAAAATATTTGTCAGGTTTAGATGCAATTATGTGTACTTTGGAGAATACTCCAATTTTCTCTAAAAATGGGGATGTTGCATTGTGCCCTAACATACGCGATTACATTCGAGTACTCGAATTGCAATTCCTAGTAATGATACAAACAGTCGTGCACCTCCTCGTATCTCGATATACATCTATACAATATGTATAATATATATAATATGTATCTGTAATTCCAATATCACTCGATCCAACTCCAGTCGATCCCACATATTTAACCTGTTCCACTCGACAGGTGACTCTCGGTCGCTACTAGGTTTGACGCAGCAAATCAACCAGCAATAATGTTTGTTTAGGATTAAACTTCTTTGGAACTCGATAAAGTGATTGTCGGTGAGGTGAAGGTGACCTGATACTGAAATCTCAAACTACTTCACGATCACGAATCTACATCATCGAAGTTAAACATTCCTATTCTAATTTCTTCTAATGATACACCTTCACACCTATCCTCGTATCTCGATATATCCATACGTTCAATATCACTCGACCGAACTCCTCTCGATCCCGCACATTTATCACCAGCGGAAGGGTCATCTGCAAACAACTGTCCATCAATTATCGCATTACACGTTGCGCCATAGTTTGTCAACGTCGACGCAACACGGCCGGACGAGCCCCGACGCGGTCAATCGGAAGAGAATTTATCCATTGCAACGCGACGCGACTAATTGCTTAGCATTCACGCGAATCGAAGGCGGGTTAAGGTCGTCGAAGAATCCCACTGTGATTCTAAACCCGTTTACACGTGGTCCGATATCGCGACGGGAACCGCGGGCAGTAATCAGCGCTGGAATCGGAGATGATTTCCCGCTAACCTCGGTGCCATCGTGGCCGCGTGTGTGCTCGTATCGCGCCATTTATCGGAAGTTTTCGTTATCTGAGCGTCGATCTGAAACGTTTATCGATATTCCATCGGGCACGGTAGCATTATTAATACTCGCGCGTCCGCGCCGCCACGCATTTCGTTCAACGCGGCTACCTGGTCGCAAACAAACGTCAACGATTAAGATTTAGTAGTTACGCAAGTCGTGTCCGCGGCCTGCTACTGAAATAAAGCGATTAAAGCTTATTAGTCGTAACAGGAACGGATTAAGCCTTAACGATTCCGCGCGATTACGATCGCACCTAAACGGTGGAAATGTTTGCACATAATTAAACTAGACGGTCAGACTCGAGGCGGTGACATCGAGGTACTGGTCGAAAAGGTAGAAACATTTCCTTATTTGCATTCTTGCCATCGTATGTGGAGCGACCGGACGTAATCCATTCGCTGGCAGGCGACTAGATAATAGCCTCTCGCAAAGAATAAGAGCGATCGCGCCCAAGGGTAAACAAATGGAATCACGACGGTGGCGAATGAGAAAAATGGAGAAGTCTCGGTTCCCATGAATAGCACAGGCAGAGAATAAAGCCACCAGTCGGTGGATAATTGGGCCCTATAACTATTTACCACTTTCCAATTCTCGTAGTCGGTCACTGGACTCGACAGGGGTCTGCTGGTACCCTATTGTCTCCTTCGCCTTGTACCCAGTCGTCGTATCCTTGGGAATTCCCCTTGGGAAATCCCCAGGTTTCGCGTTTTCGAGCTTTCCATAGTGGCCTGGCCCGAAACATATGTTTCGGATCGGAACGAATCACCTTTTCGAAACATTACACCTGATTTTCGACACCCTGCGAAGGAATACATTGGGACCATAAATTTGTCATAAAATGCTATCTCCTGGCAACAATCGATGTTCCGTTATGGTTCTTTAAATAGATACGCAAATAATGAGCCCCTGTGTCGATACTTCCCTCGGTTGAAGGTAATGCTCGTGGAGAGGGAAGAGGTGGAGTTGGAAACCGCGAATATAGAAAGTAGGGGAGAGTTGCCTGAAATTGAACTAACTTATAGTACTGAACAAAGATTCCTCTTTCAAAAGTTTAAGTGTAAATGAAAATTCCTAAGATACGAAGAACTGAAGAATAATAAATAAAAATATTGGCCTGTTGGAAAGTCCACGTCGAATTTTTATATGTGATGCAGGTCTGAATATATCGGAACGGTTGAAAACAAATAACATGTGTATCCCTTAAAAGGTGGAAAGGTTGTGGAATATATATCAAAATTCAAATGTGCCTTTGAATTTTTCTTAAAAGTTATACAGCAATACATAAGAAATCATCGATTACTCAGTGATCGCCTAAAAAAGATATCAACCCACGCAGAAAGGCGATTTCCGTCTAACAGAGAGTCGTCGAAATATAATTTAACGTTCGAAATTGGAGTTAACGCTATAGTTGCGAAAGTGGCATGAATTTGTATGGAGTTCAATGACAGAGTCGCGTCATTATCCGGGTCTAATGCCACGGGTCCTCCATTGTCGCGACGCTGGATTACCGGCCGGCGATGCAGTGACGCCGGCTATTGAAAATCCGAAACGACTCACAACCCCTTCTACGCGCCACGGCCATCGGGTAATGGCCGATATATGGATCGACGTGACGCAGACGGATGGATGGCGGATCGCATCCGGAAAAACCATGGCTCGACGGGGGCGAGAACGTGAACGAGAATGATGTCTTTCTAAAAACTCGTAATCCCGCTTCCCTGTAATCCGATTTAACTAGGGCCAATCGGCCGGTGTCGATCGTATAACGGATCGAGCGATTGCGAACGAGAGAAATTGACGGCATCATCGGACGAGCCGAGATTGTATTTCCTTCTATATCGCCAGGACGACGCGATACTAAGAAACTTATCGAGAATATATATTTCCCCGGCGCGATAATGACGAATGAATCTGAACGGAGGATCTCTCGGGCGATAAAGGCGAAATAAAATAGGAAATGCGCCGCCATTTTTTCGTTTCGCAGAAAGAGAGCCCTCTTCGAGAATGACGCGTGAGTTTCGCGATTTATTGCACGCTAACGCCGCCTAGATCTTCCCGTTAGATTCCCGATCAAACGACGGCTAAAAATACTCCCGTACTTGGTTAATAATGGGAAAAAGAGCGAAAGTTAAAACGATACCGTGAATCGCTGAAAATGTTGATTCATCGATTCAGGGTTATTTTGACACGTTCGCTACCTGCGTTACATACGAGTATCAGATGTGACGCTCCGATTTCACACGAGACGCGTGGTTTATGGGTGACAGCGATGAGTTTTCATTTCGTGTCACGGAAACGAAGCATGTGTTTAATATACAACGGTGTCGCATATGTGGGACACGCTATTCAGAGTTTTCGGTCGATGAGAATCTTGTAAGTATCCATTAATATTATAGCACTAATAGTTTGAGTACAAACGTAATACGAAGACTAATGACTGTGCGTTAACTCATTTGCGCATGGCTGATCGAAAGTAAGTAGAGTCACAATTGATATATATATACAAAACATAAACACAAAAATAAATTATAAAAACGATATGGAGATTCATTAATTTGAGTCTAGATCCATTGAATAATCCTACTCCGAAAGGAGTAACTCAGAGGAGCCTAAATCTCGATCACAAGATGCACTCAGAAAACCATTGAAAGGTTATTCCAATATTTTCCACGACAATGCTTGGATCCGATCCCCCGCAAAATTACCCAAGATCTCCCTGAATCAGCTCAAGAAATCCCAGGATATCTGGATTTGAGACGCGTCAAAGAAGACGCGAAGCGATCGCGTGGTCGCTCAAAGTATTCATCGATCAATATCCCGAAGTAACGAAGTCGACACTTCGGCCTGGATACGTCAGAGTTACAAATCAGAATATTTACCACGAGACTGAAGCTCCTGCGGTGGCTGTGCGCGCTCGATAAAACGGAGACGGCTTCGGCGCCGTCGCGCGTCCTCGGCGTCTCGATATGCGTGTGCCTGTCGTCTTGACGAGAAATGAAATCTAGTCGCGTGTCAATAGAGGGCTTCTATCCGTATTGGCGATATCGCGGAACAATTTTCTCGACGTTCCGAGAGCGGAAAACGCGGCGAAAGTGTTGGCCGTCGACGTTCCGCCGTCGCTGATAAGGGATACCCCCAACCCTTTTCTAGATCGATCGACGGACCAGTATTCGCTGGACGCGATTATGGACATTCGATATTTTCCGAATTTTCAGCGCCAGGAATCGCCGTTTCCGGCGAATTTTTATGTAACTTTCGTCACTGGGAGAATTTAATAAGTTGGTATTGAAACATTCACGCGTTTAATATGTTTCAAAGTTGAAATAAGCAATTGTAGTTAATATTAATGTGAACTTTAAATGTAGTGCAGATGAGGGTGCGTTTAATTAAAAAGTTGGGCACGATGTATTTAAAAAGGTGGTGTTAAATGGACATAATAGAATTCGTTCACTGGCACCGAGTGTCTTGTAGGAAGAATTAGAAACTGTGCTAATAAGGATCATAAGAGTCTTCGATGCGCTTTCGTAAAGGCACGACTTGCTCCGATTTCTATCCTTGAAACCTAAAAAATCGAAATGTAATTTAACACCCACAACCCTATCTCAGACCAAAAAAAGACACATAATCAAAAACTGCTCCGATCGATGCTCATCCTTTCGATCCTACACTCGACTGACAAACATAATTTCGATACCACCCCAACTCAAAATTCTCCCCGCAGAAAATACCATTTCATTCCAGTTGGCCCAGTAACGAAAAAGGTTGCGCGAGCCGGTGTTATTCGAACCCCCCCAAGAAGTAATCCAAAACAGCGTCAAACCAATCCCATATTCCAGCGACCGAACAAATGAAAACAATGGAAAAAAAAACATATCCCGAAAATTGAAGTGGGACGACCGAGTGCGTCAAAACGATACCACGGAAGGGTAACGATAACGAAAATGGCATCCGTAGGCCCAGCGGCGTCGAACGGATCCCAAAAAGTTGGCGGACCGCGGGCTGGTATCAGCGCGAGTCTGGACGAAAGCAGTTCGTCGAGAGATCACGGCAGCAGGAGCAACAGACGGTACGGGAACGGCAGCAGGAACGGCAGCAGTTGAACGCGGGGATCATGCCGTTCCCGTCCTTGCTTCCACACTTTGCGCACGCTCTTTGTCCCCCCTTGTGCGCTGCGCATCGATCCTTCTCTCTCCCTCTCCGTTCGCGAGAGAGGGGGCGTGAGACTGGTCGTTAGTGGGAGGAAAGTGCTAGAGAGTGGGGGTAGCGCGAGAGGGGGCGAAGGACGAGTAGAAGTGAACCGTGGAGGAGGGGTGACACATACGCGAGAGTGGGGTGGCGAACCGCGGTGCGCAGCACGTGGAAGGGATAATTAAACCGACACAAACGCGAACACGGACACTGGTGTACGGAAGGACGAAGAAAGGTTACCATGGCTACGTGGATGGGATCCGGCCAATCCCGGTCTGGCTCCTGGGCGTGGCCTCTACATTGGCCACCGAGATCTCTCTTGCCATCTCTTTCCCACCGACTACCCCACCGTCCTGGCCAGGCCAGGAGGCAGGGAGAAAGGACGATGGTGCGACAGAGAAACGTCAGAGAGAGAACGAGGTAGAGGTAGGTCGCAAGAGCCGGCGGGACTACCCGGTTGCAACGGGCGCGTACAAACGTATCATGCTGGGTAGGGCCGGTGCCGAGATGCCGGCTTGTAAACGAAACCAGTTTGCTATCCGATACGATCCAGGCAACAGCGGCCTCGCGTGATATCCCCGCGGCCGACCAGGAGAACGTCAGCGTGCTTTTTCGCCGCGTGACCCCGAAGGATAACTACCTGGAGAACGTTACCTGCGCCGGGAGTCACCTGACGGTAGCTTCGGGGGTGAGATTCAGTCGGGGAGCGAGCCAGCGGATCCCGCAGTCACCGGTTGCTCGCTGTAAACGTCAACGGTTCTCTGGTCACCGTCGAGTACCACCTGGAGCGGGATCTGAATTATCTAAAACGCGCGTGACAGCGGTTCCGGTCTCGGTGCAACCAGTCGAACACTATCCATCGCGAAAACGCACCGACGTCGTATCGTCGTATCGCCTAGTGACATTCGGAGCGGTGATACGAAACGGGGTAGAAATCTAGTGTCGGTCGTGAAGTGAGTTTCGTTGTATCAACCCTTAGTGATCGTTGACCGAGGATGACTCCGAGGATCGAGTCGACGGCACGATGAGAAGCGCCAAGAGCAAGCACAAATCGTGCCGGAGCGTTTCCTGAGCCGGACGACCGGTGACATCGATGCCCTGAGAGACAGCCGAATACCTAGTGCAGAGAGACAGCCAGGGTTCGCGTGATCGGGAGGATCTGACGGGTCGCTGGGCGAAGAGATGTCAGCCGTAGCACCAGCAGGAACCGGTGCCACGGCGCCCACCGCGAACGGTCCAATCGTACCCGCTCCGGTTTTCGCGTTGCCGACGTTGTCGTTCACCGTCGGCCAAGTGGCCACCGTCTGCGAGACGCTGGAGGAAAGCGGCGACATCGAGAGACTGGCCAGGTTCCTCTGGAGCCTGCCAGTCGCCCATCCCAACATCCAGGAGCTCAATCAGAGCGAGGCGGTGCTCAGAGCGCGGGCGATCGTTGCGTTTCATTCGGGACACTACAGGGAGCTGTACGCCATTCTGGAGAGGCACAAGTTCACCAAGGACTCCCACGGCAAACTCCAGGCGATGTGGCTGGAGGCGCACTATCAGGAAGCGGAGAAACTACGCGGTAGACCGTTGGGTCCCGTGGACAAGTACAGAGTTCGAAAGAAATTCCCGTTACCCAGGACGATCTGGGACGGCGAGCAGAAGACGCACTGCTTCAAGGAGAGGACCAGATCGTTGCTCAGAGAGTGGTACCTGCAGGATCCCTATCCGAATCCCGGCAAGAAGAGGGAACTGGCCGCCGCCACGGGACTCACGCCGACGCAGGTGGGGAATTGGTTCAAGAACAGGAGGCAACGTGATCGAGCCGCTGCTGCGAAGAACAGGTACGTTCGCGAATCTTATTCGTTATTAATTAGATGACGTCTAATAGCTGCTGCTATTTAGACGTTGGTTTATATGATATGATATGTAATAATGGAAGAAGCTTGTTGAAATATTTCGATTCGGTATTCGGGGGGATTAAAATTACAGGTACGGCGGGTCACAATGTCGATGACATTTTACTCTAGAAATGTAAATAGAACATGTAACTGCAGAAAGATTTTAATGTCTACCGTAGGACTACTTATAAATAAACTATTACATTCTGAAGGAATCTAGGATATTGTTAGGTGATGATTCTTAGATGCCACGAGACTTTCGTTCAAGATTCATGAGGCTTTAGTTACTTTCTTTCTTAATTTTAATGCTGAAAGACTCCATTCTCGGAGAATATTTGTGAGACGAAACTACTGTAGTCCTTAGGGAATATTTACGATTTAGAAATTCCCAGGATTTCCATTCCTCTGATTATGATATTAGTTATTAGCCGCGCGATAACTTTAGATAGAAGTATTCCACTGCTTAACCCTTTATAGTACTCATACCACTAGGAAAGGGGCGGGAATTTTGTTTTTTTAAGTTTCTACGCTCATCCACAAAAAGAAAGTGATGAATATCCAGAGAATTCTGCCCTATAAAGGGTTAACTCCTTTCGAGCAAACTATCAAATTCACTCGAAACTCGATAGATCTCGACCAGTTGTCAATTGATAGATTCCATGGGATTGTTTTTCAAGGGTGTTTTTGGAGAGATGGCTCCGAGGAGGACGCGAAAGTTTTGTTCATTAAGTAGCGTTTAATGGAAGTTAATCGCGAAACGATTAATGGTTTAGGTCCCTTTAGTCAGATTGTTGATGCTGTGTCCTCGGCAAACGAGCCTTTGTGCCTGCCCCAAGGTCCCCGCGCGGAGGGTCGCGTAATTTCATTTTGACGTCCGACGGAGGGTCGCTGCCGTCGGGCGAACAACGATTTTCGAATTACGTCTTTCAAATTGCATTTCGTCGATGCTTTTCTCTCCTTTCGTTCCGCGATACGTCTCTATAGGAGCGTCCTACACAACTCGACTCTAAACAGCGTCCCAGTCAATTTCGTACCGTCGCCGTCTCCTCTAGGAACAGGATATTGAACGAACTTCGTCCTTATCCACTATTTCGATGTCCCTTTGTACTTGCATGCAGAATTCTAAATATTAACGCGTTGATCGGTGTATCGGGAGCAAATTCGAAATTTTGTTCAATCCTAGGGTTCGCGAGGTACTAGCTGATATTTTCGTATCTGGAAACGCTTTGACCATTAATCGAAAAAATAAATAGTTAAACATATAACCATTTTACATTTAATTTGACAGCTTTAGACTCTGATTTATTAATTTCTAAAACAAATAGAAATAAGTCATACGGTCTTATAAAATATTAAGTCTCGTACTAAAATAAAAGTAAAAACTATTTACACGTTTCACGACAAAATAGCACAATTCTGAAGTACATTTGAAAAAAGTAAACTGGGTTAATCTCCATCCCTAATGCGTCAAGCGGTTAATAGTTTACGCAGAGGGGTGTCGCGTGAATACTATTGTGAAAGGTACTTTTCAAAGACAATATCGTCCAATAAAGTTTATGGCCACCATTGTACGGTTCTATTAGAGTTGCCACAATTGGTGTCCATTCAGTCTAGCAAAGCGTTTCCTGTTGTAATGGTAATACGTGTCATGCAACGATATATTCTCGAAATCATTTCGACCACGGATGGAAATTTGCATAGCTCGAGATAAAATCCTGACGAATCGCGAAGCTAGGGGGATCGTAACAGCGGGGATTTTTGTTTTTTGTCGTCGCAACGACGTTAAAATAAAAGAAAGGATTAGCGATAACCTTCCGCACCCTTGATTAGTCACGACTGGTCGTCGCTCGAACTACGATCGCTGAAAAAGTGGCTGCACCACCTGTCGTTCGGATTCCAAGCACCTCAATCTCAGGTAACGTCTGGTGGCGGTATTGTACGGCTATTTGTCGTCGGCGAATAGCGCCAGCATTATTTCCCTTATAGCAGAGAAACTCTGAGTGGGTTTTCCCCGTAACCCCAGGCCTGCGTCCCCAATCGTATCTCTTTCTGACGTCGAAGGAACCTCGGACGCTTAAAACGGGGCCCAAATTTCCATTGATTTACGAGGTCTGGGAAAACCACTCGATTCGACCAGCGAAACAACCGTTTCCGTGCCCCGAGAATGCGATTTTGCGCATGTTTCGACACTGCTGTATTTTAAAGCAGCTATCTGATTGCCGAAAAACTTATAATTGAATTTTAAAAATGCATTTTTCTCTGATCTGTTAGGTGTTAATTTTTAAATCTTCGCAGGGTGGCCAGACCATATTTGGCATGTTTGATTGAGTACATTTGTTAAATGTAATAAATGTAGGTACGATCGATCAACCGAACGATCAACAATTAGAAAACGAAAATGTTTATTGAACTTTCCAGGTCATCGGTAAACATTTGTCTACATAGGTGGCTTGAAAAATCCAACAAGCATTTTTAAATTATCCACAACCGAGCAAAGAAAATTTCATTTTTATTTTCCATTCGAATCACTTTATTCTATTTATTGGAGCTCCTACATTCCTGTGAATTTTTAATGAAAATGCACTTTGACTATGCTATTCTACTCAATTACACCGAAATTCTAAAGAAACCAATCCTAGAAAGTCTCGATCCTGAAAAAATCTTTCTACTTTCCAATTACTCGTACAATTTCGAAGCGAAATTCGTTCGTCCGCTATCAGACGGCCAATTAAAACACCGCGGGACCAGTTTGCGAGCGGTTGTAAATTTGTAAAATTCAGTCCCCGTTGATTGCGCGGTGAAAAGTGTTTCGTCGCTTTGTTATCAAGCCTATTATACGCATTGTCGTATTTCGAAATCATGAAATTTATTGTGTTCGCGCGGAAGCGAGAAGATTCCCTCTGTGTTTTGTTCCAGGAATTCTCGTTGTCGTTATCGAATAATACAACTAATAACATCGCTTTTTAGCCGAGAGAGATTGCAGCCTTTTAGGCAGACCATTTTTAAGCTCCATAATGGAAAATTGAATTTTCGAAGGTGCAGCGAGCGGATAAATATGACAAATGGAAGGGGGGCCTCGATTTGTCTCGTTCAAGAACACCGAAAGCCCGAAATTCGCGCTTCTGCGCGCGGATAAAAATCGAGGGAACCATTTGTTACGGATTAACGGTGTTCCGCGCGTAAATGGCCGTTGCAAAATGTTTTTCGAAGCTCTTATAATTTCGCCTGCATTTCGTCTGAAATCGTTCCGACCCAGATTCTCTGCAATGCGCGCGCGCACCCGTCTGTAATTATTGTGCTCTGAATGAAGTCATTAATAGTTATTACCTACGTCTATGCTGTAATTGATATATCGTTAACGGTCGAGGATCGTCCGACCGCGCTGGTCTAATTGATCTTGATGAGGCCGCGCAACGGAAAAAGATTACACCTCTCGATCTTACGCATGTCCTTACTCGTAATCGAGATCGTAGCCATCGCTTCTTGCGGGACGAGACGAATTATCGTCATTTCCAAATCTGTTGCTAGGCAGAGTCGCGGTTCGTTTCTTTCGACTTCACCAATTGAAAATTAACAAGTGGACTTCTTCCAAAGCTAATTAGCGACATCTGTCGATGCTATTTCCTCGTTTTAATTGTTTAACAAGCGATTGCCACCGTCGATTATTCATGAATCTAGCACGTAGAAAGCAGCGACTGGATTAGTTAGTACGCATTTCATATCGAGAAACTATTCAGTTTTACAATGCGCGTTAATTGCGAGTCGTTGGACAGCTTTCTCTGCAAACGCTATCAGTAGGAGCCGAGGACGCAACAAAAAGACACCGAGGCTATAGTTCGCCTGCTCGAGTACCGAACAAAGGGACGAGGAAGGGTAGAGACCAGTGATTATGGATTTGCGAAAGATATTCGCGATACTCGAGTGACCAATTCTCTTTACATTTCCGCCGGCACAAGCGCTGTGTATTCTAGTCAGGTTATCCAACAATGGCTATAGTACCCGTACCTATCGTTACCCGTCGTAACGACATTCCCTTCCTGGCCTCGAGCCACATTTTCCTGCACGTAATCCTGCGAATCCCCGGACGAGTCCTTCTCCTCTCCGCCTTTACGTACATCCTGCCGCGGCTTGGACGGAAAGCCTCGCTCCGTTCCCTCAAAAATATCGATTCGAGTATCGAACTCCACCGCCACCCTGTGTTCGATACCGCCGGGATAGGGATATACCCTGCTATTTTTAAAATGCTTAAATAACTTTTACTTTGAAATTGTTGAAACTACGCATGGGGCACTCTTTACAAAATTGTAAAATGGAAATGGTAGAATTCTATTTGTGTAGTTTGTACATATTATGAGGTTCATTGAAGGTGCAATTATGAGTCCTTTTCGTAAATGTTTCTTGTGAGACAAGAAAGAATAGCTACTCGAAGATGCGACTCGTAGAATGAAGTATATTCCTGAGTGGGACTCGAAACATTAACACATTCGCGACCGCTGACGTGAATTCACGTTACCTCTAATTCAGTTCCTGGTTTCTATCCCAAATCACGAAAATCTTTTTATTTTATACACCACATATTTACAACATTGACATTTCGAAACATATATTGTAATGTTTACCTTCGGTGTCCAGCTTCAGAATTTTATTATTTTCGTCGCGAATGTATTAATAATAACTAGAGTAGTTTGCAAAATAAAATCTCAGCAAACGTACCCACAAAAACTGAAACCAAATAAAAATTCACTTTACCCTGCAAATATTCTAACATGAACTTCACTTTCGATACTTTTTCATATTATTCCGTACTGTGTGCATTTTTGCAGTTCCTCTCAAATTTTCTATAAATACATAAGAATCCGCAATCTAATAATAACCTTTCACCTCCTATCGCAACGCAAAATAAAGATTGCTTTCGCTAAATGTCACCGCGCGTATCGACCGTG